GCTTGGATTTATTTTCTTAAGCATAAAAATGAGGTATTCAAGACATTCAAGAAGTGGAAGGCAATGGTTGAGAATAGATCAGGTAGGAAACTGAAGACACTGAGATCTGATAACGGTACAAAGTATACAGATAGTGCTTTCAAAAAGTTCTGTGATCAGGAGGGTATTGTTCGACATTGGACAATCAGATCTACACCACAGCAGAATAGAGTCTCAGAGAGACTTGCGGGAGAAAGAAATGAGTATGCGATCATATGCTGGTTTGGGCAAAGAATGATGGGCATAAGCGGTTGCTATGACTTGCTACATAGTGAATCGGCCTCCACATTCAACATTGGATGGTGATATACCCTATCGGGTATGGTCAAAGGAGCATGCAGATTACGATAGGCTCAAGATTTTTGGATGTACCGCATACTATCACATCAATGAGGGAAAGCTTGACGCGAGGGCCAATAATGTAATATTCTTGGGATATGCAAAGGGCGTAAAAGACAATCGTTTTTTGTGTACAAAAGATTCCAAGTTCGTGATCAGCAGAGATGTGACCTTTGATAAGAAATCCATGATAGCTTTATCAAAAGCTAGAGCGCCCAAGGATGATGGTGTTGAGACTTCTAAGTCCTAGGTAATTGAAATAGAACCTAAAGACCAACATGTTCTAATCATGTTCAAGTGGGAAATCATGGAGACACTCTGGAAAAGAGTGATTATGAGCTTGAACAGGGAGGTTGAGCATGAAAATGTACAAGCACTACAATAACAGCAGCTCGAAGACAGTTTGGCGTCCACTAGGCCAAGGAGAGCATACAAGCAGGTTCAGAAGTTGGGGTTAGACCAGCCTCTGAGGCACTATGAGCAAGTAAATTTGGTTAAGTACGCACTTATGGTGGAGGATGATGAGTCGGTCACCTTCAAAGAAGCTATTCGGGATTGGCTGCGATGGAGGAATAGATGAAATATCTCTGCAAGAACCAAACATGGGAGGTGATCCCATTGCCCGTAGGAAGGAAAAGTATAGGTTGTAAGTGGGTATACAAGAGAAAAGAGGATCCTTCCGAGCTCGGCGGTACAAGGTACAAGGCTAGACTAGTGGCTAAGAGGTTTGCACAAAGAGAGGGTGTGGATTACAATGAGATTTTTTCTCCGGTGGTAAAATACACTTCTATTCGGGTGCTATTGAGCATTATTGCTCATGGAGATCTTGAGCTAGAACAACTCAATGTCAAAACAACCTTCTTGCACGGAGACTTGTACGAGGAAATCTATATGCATCAGCGTGAGGGTTACATGGCTAAGGATAAGGAGAATCAGGTATGTCGCTTGAGGAAATCACTATATGGATTGAAGCAATCTCCTCGGCAGTGGTACAAGCGATTTGACTCCTTCATGCTAAAGCATGTGTTCTCCAGAAGCTATTATGACTGTTGTGTCTATATTCGGAAGCTTCATGGTGGGGATTATATCTATCTTCTTTTGTATGTGGATGACATGCTTATTGCTTTGAGAAGCAAGATGGAGATTGATATGCTAAAATCTCAACTTGGTAAAGAATTTGAGATGAAGGACATGAACGCTGCTAAGAAAATACTGGGAATGGAGATTAGAAGAGAGCGGGAAAATCGGTAATTGTTCTTGAGTTAGAAGGGCTACATTGAGTGGGTTATCGCAAAGTTTGGGATGCAGAGTGCTAAGTCGGTGGTGACTCCATTGGCTCCACACTTCAGGCTCTCAGGTAAACAATCTCCTACTACAGCGAAAGAGAAGGTGCACATGGAGCGTGTACCTTACACTAGTGTAGTTGGCAGTTTGATATATGCAATGGTGTGTACACGTCCAGATATTTCACAGGTGGTTAGTGTTGTCAGTAGGTTCATGGCGAATCCGGGAAAGGCACATTGGGAAGCAGTGAAATGGATCCTGATGTACTTGAAGAGTACTGCTGATACATGTCTGTGCTTTGGTGGAGATACATATCAGATTGATGGGTTTGTGGACTCAGATTATGCGAGAGATCTAGACAAACAACGATCTACTACTAGTTATGTGTTCAGAATACATGGTGCTCTAGTTAATTGGCGATCGATGTTACATGCTACAATGACACTTTCTACTACAGAGACTGAGTACATGGCCATGGCAGAGGGAGTGAAGAAGCATTGTGGCTGTGAGGACTTCTAGATGATTTGGGGATTGAGCAGGATAACGTGAACTTGTGGTGCGATAGTCAGAGTGCAATTCATTTGGCTAAGAATCAAGTTCGTCATGCTCGTACTAAGCATATCGACGTCAGATATCATTTTGTGTGGGATGTCATAGAGGAATGTGATATTTCTCTCATGAATGTGCACACGAATGAGAATCCAACAGACATGTTAACCAATATGGTGACAAATAGCATGTTTTAGCATTGCTTGGACTTGCTTCATATCAGCCCGTATTGATCTGCCCAAGAAGGCATGTACAAGGTACAAGGCTAGACTAGTGGCTAAGAGGTTTGCACAAAGAGAGGGTGTGGATTACAATGAGATTTTTTCTCCGGTGGTAAAATACACTTCTATTCGGGTGCTATTGAGCATTATTGCTCATGGAGATCTTGAGCTAGAACAACTCAATGTCAAAACAACCTTCTTGCACGGAGACTTGTACGAGGAAATCTATATGCATCAGCGTGAGGGTTACATGGCTAAGGATAAGGAGAATCAGGTATGTCGCTTGAGGAAATCACTATATGGATTGAAGCAATCTCCTCGGCAGTGGTACAAGCGATTTGACTCCTTCATGCTAAAGCATGTGTTCTCCAGAAGCTATTATGACTGTTGTGTCTATATTCGGAAGCTTCATGGTGGGGATTATATCTATCTTCTTTTGTATGTGGATGACATGCTTATTGCTTTGAGAAGCAAGATGGAGATTGATATGCTAAAATCTCAACTTGGTAAAGAATTTGAGATGAAGGACATGAACGCTGCTAAGAAAATACTGGGAATGGAGATTAGAAGAGAGCGGGAAAATCGGTAATTGTTCTTGAGTTAGAAGGGCTACATTGAGTGGGTTATCGCAAAGTTTGGGATGCAGAGTGCTAAGTCGGTGGTGACTCCATTGGCTCCACACTTCAGGCTCTCAGGTAAACAATCTCCTACTACAGCGAAAGAGAAGGTGCACATGGAGCGTGTACCTTACACTAGTGTAGTTGGCAGTTTGATATATGCAATGGTGTGTACACGTCCAGATATTTCACAGGTGGTTAGTGTTGTCAGTAGGTTCATGGCGAATCCGGGAAAGGCACATTGGGAAGCAGTGAAATGGATCCTGATGTACTTGAAGAGTACTGCTGATACATGTCTGTGCTTTGGTGGAGATACATATCAGATTGATGGGTTTGTGGACTCAGATTATGCGAGAGATCTAGACAAACAACGATCTACTACTAGTTATGTGTTCAGAATACATGGTGCTCTAGTTAATTGGCGATCGATGTTACATGCTACAATGACACTTTCTACTACAGAGACTGAGTACATGGCCATGGCAGAGGGAGTGAAGAAGCATTGTGGCTGTGAGGACTTCTAGATGATTTGGGGATTGAGCAGGATAACGTGAACTTGTGGTGCGATAGTCAGAGTGCAATTCATTTGGCTAAGAATCAAGTTCGTCATGCTCGTACTAAGCATATCGACGTCAGATATCATTTTGTGTGGGATGTCATAGAGGAATGTGATATTTCTCTCATGAATGTGCACACGAATGAGAATCCAACAGACATGTTAACCAATATGGTGACAAATAGCATGTTTTAGCATTGCTTGGACTTGCTTCATATCAGCCCGTATTGATCTGCCCAAGAAGGCATGACTCTTCAGGGCGGTGATAGGGTGAGGTGGAGATTATATGGAGAATAATTTTTGAACTATGGTTAGCTTGATCCTGGTCAGAGGGTACGTAGGCAGTCATGATATAATAGTGCAGCTGGTTTGGCCTGGTTTGGTGTTTCAGATCTTTCTGGTGATGTTCATAGTGTTTTTCTGGTGTTCGTCCAAAATTTAAGGTTTATCAAATGATGTACGAGGTGAAGAATTGTGAACAACGGTGCATGGAGACAACATGAACGCGAGACAAGAAGAGAGAGGATGGGTCGACCCATCAGGTATCACGGGTCGACCAGCGAGACACATTTTGTTTCTCGAAGCTGGAGCTGGCCAGTTGACCATTCGCTTCCATGCGGTTGACCGGTTAGCGGTTTGGGCATGTTCGGTTTTTTCCTGGACACGGTGTTTTTTGGCTATAAATACTTGACGATTTCTTCTAGGGTTTCGTGGGATAAATACAGGGGCTTAGTCGGCTGCAAACAGAGTTTTTCAGGAGACTTAGATCTGAGAAGGAGAGATCTTGAGGAGAGATAAAATGAGAGAGTTTTGTAGAGATTTTACAAGAGAGGTGTCAATTTCTTTTGGGTAAAAAATCAAAGCTTCTTCTTTGGAACGAGCTTGTGGGTTGTACAAGTCATCAGTGTTCTCCTTCATAGTGGAATCTCCCTTCACCCCTCCCCGTGGACGTAAGCAAGTTTGCCGAACCACGTAAATCTTGTGTCTTTACTGTTTTCTGGGTGTTAGCTATTGCTTGTTTGTTTCCTAGATATTCAGATATAGATCTAATATTGAGAAGAGTGCATATCTCACCTTGTTGAGATATATTACTTTTGTTCTTGTTTTATATTGAAACGAGAATATCGAGGTTGGCTTGTATTTTTGTGAAAACAAAAACCAGAGTTTTCTCTCGGGTTATATCGCTTCCGTGACGTGAGGGCGTGACTCTGCGCCCAACAATCCTTAACACAAGACTTGGCTAATCTCAAACTATCCACTGATCCACACATATGGATCCAAATGCCAAAATTTCAATCCTTAACACATCATCCACGCCGTTCATCTCAAATTCAAGAAAAAAAGCATGAAATTTTCACTAAAAACTTGGTAAAAAAATACCAACTACTCACTCACATTTATCTGAGCAAATCCGGGCATTTCCCGTTCTCGGTCCAGCTATTATCATCTTTGATGTGATCAAATTCTCCCGTTCCTATCACAAGAAAACAAACAAAACTCAAAAATAAAAACGATAAAATCTTTACCTGGCTAAGGAGGCGAAGTGATGCTTTCAAACACTTTAGCCTCCTGTTGTTCTTGGTGTTAAAAAGGAAAATTCTAAAATATGATGGTTTTTGAGAGAGAGAGAGATACATGATTTTAAGGTTTTGTTGATTGGCGCCGTTGTCAAAAGGAGTCGGGCGGGCGGAGGACGAGGAGATGGACAAGGTAAGCAGCCTGGCGAGAGCGAGAGCTGAGGAGGGGGAGCGCACCGCTGTCGTGGCCTTCGAACTAGGCCCAAATTTACTTCTGGAAAAAGCGAGAGCTGAGGATGGCTGTCGTCGGCTTCGAACGGGCCCAAATTTGCTTCTGGAGAGAGAGAGAGAGAAGAGAGGAGTGTTCGGTTGAGATAGTGGAGATAAGATAGAAAAGTAATTTCTGAGAGTGAGGTGGGGAGACTCCGAGAGAAGGGGGAATGTTGGAAATTTGGATCGGGTATTCTCTTTAAAAAAGATAGATGGAGGGAGAGGCCGTAGGGGAGAGGTAGGGGTGCTGAACCTGTATTCCAGAAAATATACGTAACTGTATATGTTAGGATATGAATATGGTTATTCAAATTTATAATCGATAGGATATGGTTACGGATATGGTTTTGTAGTAAAAAATATGTATCTGTATCCAAAATATCCGAATACATATTAGTCATATCCTTATGATAGTTTCGATTCTTAGATTATGTATTAATTTGTGGTTAATTTTGATGATTAAGATGTCTAATCTTAACTTTTTTCAGTTATAATGAACAAAACGAACTCTTTTGTATCATATGAACTATGTTTTTCTCAATACTATCTAGTTTTCTCATATCTGTTTTGTATCCGCATGAATATCCGCATGTATAACTGTAACTGTATATGATTTTAGCGGATGTGGATATGAATTTTCCTTACCGATGGATAAGCAAATATGAATAAGGTAAGTATCATATTCAAGCCGTATCCGGACCGAATGCACCTCTAGGAAAGGAGAGTGGGGCTAGAAGAGATGTGGGTCTGCTAAGGAGATGGGCCAGGTAGAGAAAGGGGTCAATGGGGGGGGGGAATATTTCTGATGTCGCGAATCCTTGTTATGTGATTGACCCAGCTTGGATTTACTGTTCATGTGCACTATTCATGGGTTTTGCTTTTAGGGGCTGTTTGGTTGGTTTCCTAAAAATCAAGAAAATGAAAAGGGTACATGGAAATCAATAAAATATTATTTTCATCCTTGGTTGGTTTCCTAAAAATCAAGAAAATGAAAAGGGTACATGGAAATCAATAAAATATTATTTTCATCCATTTCCATCCCTAAAACTCACCACAACATGGTACATGGAAATCAATAAAATATTATTTTCATCCATTTCCATCCCTAAAACTCACCACAACATCCAATGAAATATTATTTTCATCTCACAACTCATCTCATATCATCTCCTAAAAATAAACCAAACACAAAAAATGGGTCACATCATCCAACTCATTCTCATATCATCTCCTAAAAATAAACCAAACACAAAAAATGGGTCACATCATCCAACTCATCTCATCTCCATCACATCTCATCTTTAAAAATCACTCACATCATCCAATAATATGGTGACAACTCATCTCATTAATATTTTATTTCCACTCATTTCCTCCAAAAAAGCTAGAAAATCGATTTCCCTAAGTGTGAGTCACATCATCCAATAATATAATGATAACTCATCTCATCTCATCTATTTTTTTTATTTTTATGAATGAACCAAACACAAGAAAAGAACCTTCATCTCATCTATTTTTTTTATTTTTATGAATGAACCAAACACAAGAAAAGAACCTATTACAGGAAATAAGTTTCTTATAATTATGAACCAAACACAAGAAAAGAACCTATTACAGGAAATAAGTTTCTTATAATTTATTTCCTTATTTTTTAGCTAACCAAACAACCTCAAAACAAATTTTCTTAAAAAATCACTCACATCATACAATAATAATGTGACAACTCATCTCCCAATCTTTGATTTCCTTCTTTTTTTAAGCCAACTAAACAATCTCAAAACAGTTTTTCTTAGAAATAGATTTCCTATTCTTTGATTTCCCTCTGTTTTTAGGCAAACAAACAGCCCTTATTTTAACAATAGTAGATAAGCTAAATTAATTTATTAATTAATAGTCTCTTTTTTTTTTTGCCCCCCTGTTGTAGTTTGTTAGCGTGGACTAATGTGAACTTTGTAAATTTAGGATTAACGCGGTGTCAAAGAACCTGGCAATAGCAAGAATAACACATTACAGAGGTTGAGGGTCGAAACATGCTCGATAATAAATGGTTGATGCGTTCGAGAAGCTAGCTTATAGATGATAAAGAATTGTAGGTGGACTATGAAAAGCTTTAGGTACAGCTTGAACACGGTGGAGGAAACCGACAGAATTATTTGAGAATGCAAATATGAATGTAGATATACTTTGGTAAACAAAATTCATACTTATATCTGCTAAAATTGGATACAGATATAGATGTACATGCAGATATAAGGAGATATATATGTAGATAGAAAATAGATAAAGAAAACCAGATAATATTAAAATATATATAGTTCATATAATACAAGAGAGTTCATTGATATATTTGTTCCATCACTAATGTATTTGTTATATCTAACAACCTAGGGTTAGATCCCTTGATCATCAAAATTAACTTCCAATCTATTGATCTAAGGATTGAATCTATTGCAGCAGTATGACCAATATATATTCGGATATTTCATTACATACCATTATCAGCAATAACAATACGAAGCATAAAGAAAGACAACCACACAATCACCAAAACCACCATCTTCCTCCTCACTCAACAACAGTGGCTCCTCCTCTGTTATGAAGATTACGAAAAGGGAAAAGGTGGAAGCGTTTTTTTTTTCTTGATTGAGGTAGAGACTGTGGAGGGGTTTTTATATTAGTGAGAGGAGAAAGAGTCAAAAGACAGCAGTGTGGCTGTTGAAGGCACGAGTGAGGAAAAGGTGGTGTTAGTGGGGAATTGTGGAGTTTTTGGTGGAAGTTAGGTGGCAATATTGACTTTTTCCAATAAAATATCCAACAATTATATCCTATCGGATACAGATTTTAATAACCATATCCGCCATGAACATAAATACCTACATTTCCTCATATATGTCTTTTTTTAACCCTGCAAGAAAGGTCCTTAAAGTGCGCAGTGAGTGTGAGGTGTGGTCTTATAAGTAGAGTGCTCTGCATTGTGATGGCGAGTGTCCCCAAGTTCTACATTCTGTGAGCGTTAATAGCACTTGTTTACACTTGACTAAAAGTCATAAGAAGTTGCTAACATGCTGACGTGCCACTCCCTCTGCAGCATTGTTTTAGGGTCAAGCATCTCCAAACCAACAAATGATGTTTCAGACGGAAGAGAGGTTAAGTTGATGGCTTGATTATTGACTTGTTTGTCTGTCTAACTAGACAAAAGCGAAGAGGAAGTCATGAAGATTTTGGTAGAAAAAATTCTGGCCGTGCGTATCATAGAAAAATTCTAGTTGTGCGTATCATAGCCACATGTATTCTTTGTTTATACCACGTCGCAGTCTTTGCTCGTCTAAGGAAAAACAATGTCTTGTATTTACTCATTCGGTTCTCACTTATAGTAATACGCTGGAATACGGCATTATTTCTACTCTATAAGCTTACACTCTGATGTGGAGAGCCAATTAAGCAGAAAAAGTTCTTTCAACAAGTTAATTGAATTCAAATCATAGAATGAGCTGGGTCATCATTTAACATTTTACCATTTAGTCAACAATAATATATGAATGTATCCGCCGTCAACAAGATGAGTTGTTATTTAAAAGAAAATAAAAAGACAAAACAAAAATTAGCAGGGAAAATTGCTCTTTTTTATTTACTAAATAAGTTATCTATACACCAAAGAATTCAGGTGGGTCTCCTATTACCATTTCCTCCCTTCTCTTTCGTGACGAATGGGTATTAAAGCTACCAAGAAAAAAAAAATCCTATTGAGTTAGAGAAAAGGAGATATATCTACAGTCCCTCATCAGAGACTCGCAATTTCTCTACAAAATTGTTCTACCCTACAAAGAGTAAGATGGAAATGTGTCATCAACCCATTCTGATAATCGCCGCATCTTAGTTGTCATTTCAGTATTCTTTCCAAAGTAGGATTCGGCATTGGAAAGCATCACTGAGGCATCATGCTTGACTGCCTCCAATGTTCGATAGTAGTTGTTTTCCAATCGTCTTTTGATCATCTCGAGAGATAAGGGAACAGGGAACCTGCAAGGATAGAAGAAAGGAAAATGCATTAAATTTCATAAAATGAGGAAAATTTTGGAAAATAAAAATGAGAGAGATGAATGCTGCACATTAAGAGGTGAAATAATACTCAATATATTCTTTAAATATACTACTTTGACCTAATGTGGAACTGTAAAATTTCATGGTGGAGCATGTAGACTTTAGCCCTAAAAGATTAATAGATTTCATCACCTATAAGTATCTTGTCCTTACACCAGAGCATATATCTGAAATCCACTGTAATTTTCAGCAAATTAGCATTTTGTTATATCTCAAACAGGCCTACTGGCTTCATGCACTTCATCCATCCAAGGCCTAACATAATAACCTACCCCATTTCGTAGATTAAAACAAGTCAGCATTTGATCTCTCTCTGCAGTACGTTCCCAAAAGACCATCCTAAAATTGTCAAAACTGTGACAAAGAATTGAAATAAAAATATATCTGTATTTAAATTTCAACATGTTTGAGTTCGAGAAAGGTCAGACTGACTCATTAGATGAGAGTTGGAAGTCCGCATGTTCGCTGAAGTGTACATGTGTTACATCATAGAGCTTTTCTATAACTAAATAAAGAATATCAAATCCTTACCATCAGTTTAATGGCATCTCACCCTAAATACATGATAACTGGCTTCTCAGCTGAAAACTAAATCCTATAGTACAGGTCGTCATCTTATGTGCCACTGAGCAAAGACCAGTAGAAAATTAAACACATCATCTGTGATAGAAATAACACAAGACGTATCATCATCATATAAACCTTCTTTCCTGAAATTCAGTAGGGTATGCAGTGCAAATTACACTGAGCAGACTCAAAAAACTTCATAAAATTTTACACCTTTGAACCTTATCTCAGCACCAAATACGCAGCCCAAGTCTGCCAAAAAGGGACTTGAAATAGATGCATGCCAGCCGAGGTGTAGAAATGAACCTTATTAGATGCAAGGTTTATGCAGTGAAGGAACGATTCCCCATGACTCCGCCAAGACAATGAAATATACAGCGAAGACGATAAAATTTTGTACAAAAAGTCGCATAAGCATATGAGGCATATAATATAACATAAATAAAAAAGCCAATTGAAAAAGCATTTCCATCTAACGAAGAATAAGGAAAATAAATAAATAAACTCTGACCATGCAAGCACTTTCTTACAAGCATATATTATGCTAGATGTGTAT